CCAAGGCGTCTGAGAAACAATGTATCTCAATTGATTTTGCCTTTGATACGATCACGCAGCGAGGTACTCGAAGCTCGTTTAAGCATACCAGTTGCTCATGAAAGTTTCGCCACTCCTCCCCCACCGTGTTTGGTAATGGCGCATCCCAATCCAATCGCTGCCCTCGTTCATTTCGCAAACTCCATAAATGCTGCATGATGATTTTCCCCAGTGTTATAGTTGCCCCCAAAAGTCCAAGAGGGTCAAATAGCATCGCTACGGCAGACAAAACCATCTCAGTCGATTTGAATTCTCTCTAGTTTCGTTCGTTCGTTCGCAAGTCGAATTAGCTCCGCGTTGTATAGTGACGCTCTCGCTGACCCAGCCATGGGTAAGAAATCGCGCGGTAACGCGAGTGCCGGCTTATCGGGAAAACAGACTCTCCCAGGAGACGGCGCGACCACCGAGCCAGCTCAGAAGAAGCAGAAGAAAACCCCATTGCCCGTCCCGACAGGCGTTGCGGACCCGCAGCCGGGGCCTCCCGGAACTAAACGACCCAGACCTGAAGACATCAGCGCCACCGCATCGGCAGCAAAAAAGCTGCTGAGCAACAATCCGTTCTCCGCCCTGCAGAACGGAGCCCAGCCGCAGTCGGACCCTGAGACGGTGCCGAAAAAAGTTAAGTTGCCACCCTTCTATGTGAAGGGCTTCCCTCCCGGGCTATGGGAGCAGCTGGATTTCTACATTAAGCAGGGCCTTCGCTGCACCATTCAACGGTGCACGGAAGGCTACAAACTGATGGTCTCGGCCGAAAATCACTACAACGCAGTCCAGGCCCTCTTGGACAGGATGAAGCTGGAGTACTTCTCCCACGACGTCGAGGCCACCAAGCCGCTGAAAGTGGTGCTGCGCGGGCTCCACGACATGGACACCACCACCTTAATGGACGAGATTAAGGCGAACGGCCTCAAGCCGGTCGAAATCCACAAGATGACCCGCAGCAAGGCCATCAAGTATCGTGACCAGCTCTACTTGGTCCATCTGCAGAAGAACTCCACAACCGTGAAGGATCTCCATACGACACGCACACTGTTCCACATCGTAGTGAAGTGGGAGCGGTATAAGCCAACCCACCGTGGCGTCACTCAGTGCTCGAACTGCCTATTGTTCGGGCACGGCACCAGGAACTGCCGCATGGCCAGCCGCTGCATCAAATGCGGCAAAAACCACAAGATCGACGACTGCGACAGCATCGAGGAAGCCGCTCCCACATGCGCCAACTGCGGTGCTGCCCACAAGGCCACGAGTAAGGCCTGTCCGAAGCGAGCCGAATACGCCGAGATCCGGAAGAAGGCCTCGTCCAACAACCAGCCCGGTCGCAAGAAGGTCCCGGAAAACAACGCGCAGAACTTTCCTCCGTTATCACCGGTCCAACCACGGCCAATTCCAGTGTTGGCGCCGCTCCCGCTCAACCAACAGTTGGCTGCTGCCCAGTCGGCTGCCGCTGCAGTACCTAGTCAAGCCTCCGGCCCATCGACGGATCCCCCTGCTCCGGGATTGGCCGGTACAACCGGTGAAGCTACAGACGATTCTCCGCTGTCAACGGATGAGATCGTCACACTGTTGGCCCAGGCCATCATCATCAAGCGCACCTGCGCAACAAGAACACAACAGTTCCAAGCTATCATCTCCTTCGTCGCTAATTATGGACCGTGAACCCATAAAGATCGCCTACTGGAACGCTCGCTCCGTAGGGGCGAAAAACATTGAGCTTGCAGACTTCCTCCGCAAGCACGACATCGACGTGGGCCTCCTCACCGAGACCCACCTCAAGACCGGTGACAGCTTCTGGCTGCCCGACCACAGCATTGTCCGGCTTGATCGCACCAGCTCCAGGGGGGGCGGTGTCGCGGTCATCATCAAGAAAGGCATCAAGTACTGCACCCTACCCCACTACCGCACTTCCATCATCGAGGCCGTTGGCATAGAGGTGGAAACATCGACCGGAAACGTCCGGTTCATCGCCGCCTACTGCCCCCGGCAATGTACCGTTAGCAATGGTACAGCACAGCAGTTCAAGAACGACCTTGCCATCATAACCCACACCAATGCCCGCTTTGTAATCGGAGGGGACCTGAACGCCCGGCACGAGGCCTGGCGGAACTACCAGCAGAACCAGAACGGCCGCCTGCTATTCGACCATTCCCAGCATGGTCTCTATTCCGTCTGGTTTCCGGACGAACCAACCTTCACATCACCGACGGGCAACCCATCGACGCTGGACCTGTTCTTGGCAAACACCAGATTAGCCAAGCCGGTTGCCGTCAACGACCTGAGTTCGGACCACCAACCGGTGCTGACCGAGCTGGGCTACAACGTGGCCCCTGCACCGTGCCAGCGGAAGGACTACCATCGAGTCAACTGGGTCCAGTTTCGACGCGTGGTCGGCCGCCACATCGACGACAACCCACCACTCGACACAGTGGAGGACATCGACCGGGCCCTGGAGGGTCTCCATCAAGCCATATCCGTGGCTGACGAAGAGTGCGTTCGACGAGTTCCTGTGAGGGGTAAGTTTCAAGCAATTGATTCCCACACCAAACTCTTGATTCGGCTCAGAAATGTTCGTAGACGCCAGTTTCAGCGGACTGGGGATCTGCAGCGTAAATACGAAATGGTCGATCTGAATCGGCAGATCGCTTCCAGAATGGTCTCAATCCGGAACGAGAGTTTCGGGCGGCTCGTTCAGAACCTGGACGACCGTTCCAGACCATTCTGGAAGGTTGCCAAGGTGCTGAAGTCTCACCCCAAGCCCATTCCACCACTTAGAGTCAATGACGAACGGCTTATCACCAACGAAGAGAAGGCCAATGCGATTGGGGAGCACATTGCCCAGTCGCATTTGCTTGGCTCTAAAATCCCAAGTCCACTCGAGAACCAGGTTGCGCAGTGCGTCCTGACGTTAGATGCCTCCCCTTGTGCCGTCCCTCCAGAAGAACGGATTACAGAGGAACAAATTTGCTCAGCGCTGAAATACAGTAAGAACATGAAGGCTCCCGGGTTTGACGGAATATTCAACCTAGCGTTGAAAAATCTCAGCCCGAGGGTGCACTCGCTGCTAGCAGCCACCTTCAACAGATGCTTGGAGCTGCACTACTTTCCAAGCATCTGGAAGGTGGCAAAAATCATCCCGATCCGCAAACCTGGGAAAGACCCTTCACTACCGTCAAGCTACAGACCGATTAGCCTGCTCTCAGCGCTGAGCAAGCTGTTCGAAAAATTGATCCTCAGCCGACTAAACAAGTTTGTGGAGGAACATGACATTCTTTTTCCGGAACAGTTCGGGTTCCGTAAGGGGCATTCCACCAATCATCAGCTAGTGCGGGTGATGAATAACATCCGGAGTAACAAAGCTGTATCCAAGTCCACAGCCATGGCCTTGTTAGACGTCGAAAAGGCGTTTGACAATGTCTGGCACGACGGACTTATATACAAGCTTTGTAACTCCAACTTTCCACCATACCTTGTGAAAATCACCCGTAACTATCTCCAGCAAAGGTCGTTCAGGGTGTCGTTGAATAGTTCCCTTTCGGGACAATTTCCGATCCCAGCAGGTGTTCCGCAAGGGAGTCTGCTGGGACCACTGCTTTACAGCATCTACACGTCGGACATCCCTCCTCTAGGAGACGGTTGCGTGTTCTTTCTGTTTGCAGATGACACCGCGATAGCCGTCAAAGGTAGGATGCCTCGTGAAATTACGAACAAGCTCCAACGATGCCTTGACACCTTTACTGATTATGCCACCACGTGGAAAATCAAAATCAACGCCTCGAAAACCCAAGCGATCATGTTCCTTCACAGACAATCATTAAAACTTAAACCGTCTCCCTCCTGTACCGTAATAATGGATGGTACAAGGGTCGAGTGGTCCACTGATGTTACTTATCTCGGGATGTTGTTCGATGAGAAGCTCCTGTTCCGCTCGCACATAGAGAAAACCCTAGTTAAGTGCTCCGCCTTGGTTAGGTGTTTGTATCCGCTCATTTGCCGCAGATCCCGCCTCTCAAGGCAAAACAAACTGGCTGTTTACAAACAGATCATAGCCCCCGCGATCTTCTATGCCGCCCCGGTGTGGGAATCGTGCGCTCAGACCCACAGGAACAAAATCCAGGTTGCACAGAATAGAGTGTTGAGGATGATCCTAGATCGTCCATTCGACACAAGAATAGCAGACCTCCATCAAGAGGCAGAAATTCCCAAAGTAGATTCCAAAATTGATGATATGACAACTAAATTTATTCAAAAATGCAATCTTTCTGAACATGCTTTAATAAGCAATTTGTACATAGTAGGTTAAGTGTATATAGTAGAGTAGGTTAGTTTTAAGCTGTAAATAGTAGTATTAAGTAGTTTCTCTTCAAATTCTAAAAACAAAACAAACCAATCCCACCAAGGTGGTCGACCGTGTACTAAGTCTAGGACTAATTCTGTAAAACAAATTTTGAATTTTGCCCATACCTAAAGATGAAGAAAGCAATTAAATCACTTAGTAAAAAATTTATATGGTAATCGTCCAAGTTAAACTAAAATAAAGATCATTTAAACTAAAAAAAAAAGACAAAACCATCCGTTTGGTAAGAATTTCGTCTGGCTGGAAGGTTGGTATTTGAAATTGGTATTTGGTAACCAAGTTAACCCCAAGGTTTTTACTGATTGATCCTGTTCCCAATTAACTTCCTGCGTGTTGTGAAGCGCTAGATTGTCTCGTGGTATGCCATCCAAAGCTGCTGAGCAATTAGACGCCCATTTTCTAAGCTTGAACCTGCCACTTGCCATCATGGCGTTAAATTGTTTTTGTAGTTCCACTGCTGTTTCAATGTCATCTGCGCCGGAGATAACATCATCCATGTAGATATCCTCATCTACAGCCTGTACTGCAAGGGGGTACCTTTCCCGCTCGTCTACAGCTAGTTGATTGATCGTACGAGTTGCCAAAAAGGGTGCCGGCTTCGTTCCATACGTCACCGTCGTAAGCTCGTACGTTTCATCCCGTACGTTTCGTCTGTCTCGAACCGCCATAAACTACTTTGCAGTGGAATATCCGTTGGGTTCATATTAATCTGCTGATACATTTTTTCCGCATCCGCTACCAGCATCACCTGACGGGTACGACTGCGGAGAACTATTGTACGGAGATCTTGCTGGATGACTGGCCCGACCAGTAGTGTATTGTTGAGGGAGATCCCACTCGACGTTTTGCACGAGGCGTCGAAGACAACCCTCACCTTTGTAGTTGTGCTGGCCTCCTTCACAACTGGATGATGTGGTAAGTAGCACCGCTTACTCCCGTTCAGAGCATCATCCTCCACCTTCCGCATGTGACCTAGTTTCAAATATTCCGCCATGCAGGCCTTGTACTGTTTCGATAGGTTCTCGTCCCTTGAGAGCCTGCGTTCCAGTCCTTGCAGACGTCTAAACGCAATGTCCTTAGATTCCCCGAGTTGTGATAGAATATCCTCCAAATACCGTCTCCGTTAGCATGGGAAGACCGTGACCCAATGATATTTCATGTCCTGTCTTGAAGAACCTGAAGAAGGATTGTGTTCCCAAGACCAGATCTACTGTGCTTGCCTTGAAGAAACTTGGATCAGCCAATTCTATTCCTTCTGGAAATTCCCATCCTTTAGTATGCACCAATGTTGTAGGTAGATTGACGATCACTTTTGGTAACACCAGAAAGCTCAGGGACCGACAAAATAGTGAAACTCGTGACTTAATTGCCACTTGCAGCCGCTCTGTTGCCTTTGTCGCGACGTGGCCAATACCCAACACCGACCCGTCGACTTTCTCTCTGCTACGAATGTTCAAGCGCTGACTCAATGTCTCCGATATGAAATTGCATTCTGAACCGGAGTCAAGCAATGCATGAGCTGGATACCGAGATCCCGTACGTCTTCAACGAGAACTAATGCTGTGGCAAGAAGAATGCTTGAAGTCCGCCCATGAGCCATGTTAGATGATGCAGTGCTAGAGAATCCCGTATTCGCCTCTTGCTGATTGGTAGCTGCCGACGACCCGTTGTTAATGCCAGAACCTCCATTATTTCCATTTGGAGCAGCTTGAAGTTTTGAGTCTGATTCACCCTTAAAACAGACTAGGGTGTGATGATGAGCCTTGCATTTCCGGCAAGTGTACTTTGAAGAACAGTCCCTTGCCTAGTGTCCTCTCTTAAGGCAATTACGACAAAGAGCATGTGTACGAATCAGAGACTCTCGACTGGAAACCGTCATTTGAAGAAAGGATGGACAAAGATGCAGCAAATGGTTCTTCGTGCATGCAGGGCATTTCAATGAAGTTGACTGCACAGCGTTGTTGGTGACACGAACCCACTGTTTCCTTTTCATTACCGCTGGTACCGACTCTTGACGACTATCCGAAGATCTTATGGGTAGCGATTCTAAAATACGAATGCGACGTTGAATAAAGTCAATGAGTTCCGGCAAAGTGTCTTGTTCTTTCGTTGAAGAGAGCTCTTCCCATCCACGCCGTGTACTGGGGTCCAACCGTGCACTGAGAACTTCTATCAGCAAAAGATCCTTATAATCTGCCGGCTGAACTACTTGATCCAGGTCGATCACTGATTCCTTCCCAAGGTTTGGCAGTTTGAAAAGCGTCTGAGCCTGCCTTTTCTTTAGCAACTTGCTGTTATTATATCGCTTTTGAAGGGTTTCCCATGCTATCGAATAGCTGCCTCGAGTGATTTTCAATGAATCTACTAACGCCTTCGCTTCACCTCCGAGACAACCCTTAAGGTAATGGAATTTTTCTACTTCTGATAAATCTGGCTTCCGGTGAATCAATGAAGTATAAAGATCCCGAAAGCTCAGCCTCTCGTCTATGTTGCCGTCGAAATTTTGTAGTTTAATTTGCGGCAGACGAACATGATTCATCTCTCCATGCAACGTTGCAGCTGATTCGTTGAGAGCTGACGTATTTGTAAATTCCTTGGCCTTGTCAAGCAAAAATGACTTGACGTCATATTAGCGGTTTTCAAAATCCGAACGTTCCTTTGAAAATACATCGCTTTCAGTGTATTCCTCGTGAGTTTTGATTTCATAGAGAGATTCACTAATTTTCTCCCATAGATCATCTAAACGTTCAAGACGCACGTGAATTTGGCTAGCAGTGGTACCCTCCGGAAAGTTCTCAACGAATTTGTAGATATTGTTGACGGAAGTTTGTTGCCCCTTTGATTTAGTGTAAAGAGACTTCAGTGGTGGACCTTCCTTGGATCTTGAAGGCATGTTGACGGATTTTAAAAGAGCAGCGTCTGAACGAATTTATGGTCGACGCAACCCGGTACAGACTGACAATCCAACAAATCCAAAATCGAAAGAAAAGAGAGGTGTAGTATCCAAATGGCCCACTTCGGCCAAACATATACTATGTAGTCTCACCTTCGAAGCTAATAGCTGCGCTGGATGACCGAACGATACTGGTAGCAATCTCCAATTTTCTTAAAGCTCGTTCAAAGTGCAAGGCAATGTACGATTAGCTTTCATCCACACGTATATGTTAAATTATCACCGATTCAGGAGTGTCGAAAGAGAAAATGGCAGATGTAGTATCAATAATCCAACTACGGCCGGACATATACCGTTTAGCTTTACCTGGGCAAAGAACGAAGGCGCCAACCCAGTACGATCTGAACCCCAATGAAACCGTAGGTTCTCTTATGCGACGATCGTTGGCGAGACAATGAAGCGATGGAATTCCATAATGAATGAATGAAGAAAATCGTCGAAAGTAGTTGAGAGATTTAATCTCGAACCTCGCAAATCAGGGATTCGTCCGCAAGAAAGTAGTGATCCCATGTTCACCGAAAAGGTACAATTTATTGTTGGAGTACAGTTCACAAATCCAGCAACGGCTGGACATATATTTGTGTTAAAATTTGCCTGCTAGAAATTATGGCTCCGCGACGTCCACCGTAACGTTATCTCATTCACCGTCACCACTCGATATCTACGAAATCTTTGATTCGGAATATCGTCCACTGTATCCATTCACGGTAGTCTGCAATCCACTGATGTGGTCACCAAATGACGAATCGCTTTTGGCAACGGTTGAGCCAACGGAACACCTCCAATAGTAGATGTCGAGCGAATCTCAGTTCCGAGAGTAAGAGTGAAGAAACGAAATTTGGTGTAAGAAAGTTGCAGGTCGATGCTTCGGCTGCACATATACTCGTTCTCGCATCCCGAAGATAATCCTCGGTCTGTGAACTCCGACAGTAACCCACGGTTTGGACAGTAGTAATAAAGTTGTGATGGCTGCGTACGTTGTTAACCTAATTGGTAAGGTATAATCGTTGACAACAGATGTGCAAAAATTTGTATTTTTTCTGATAGTAAAGCAGCACTGAAAGCACTGAGTGCTTACAAATGTACATCAAAGATCGTCTGGAAATGTATTCTCTCGCTTCGGAAACTATGCCAAGGAACTCAGTAAACTTATATTGGGTACCCAGACACTGTGGCATTGAAGGGAATTAAAGGGCAGACGACCTAGCAAAGTTAGGTTCCAATTCATAGTTTTTGGCCCAGAACCATACTGTGGAATATCATATTATCACACATGGCTGGAGTAAATTGGATCATTCGGGTGAGACGGTTCCTTTTTGTTTGTTTAATTTTATTTTAAACAGGATTAGAATTTTAATTTAGGAGCTTGGCTAGCTTGGCGGCTACCTAAGCTTTTGCTTACTGACTAGAAGATCGTGGGTTTACTCCCAAGCTTCTCGAGAACACAACAATTACTATGGTCGCATCGCCTGCTTAAGCGAATCCTGACCCATCTCCTACCAAACTAAAGGGCGAACACGAAATTATTGCGACACCGAAAATGTCATGCCAATTTTCTTATAATGTTTAGAATCAAACCAAAATTTAAGGGTAGTTTTATACATATATTTAATTCAAAAATCAAAAGAAAAGTTAATCGATGGAGCCTTGAGTGTAAAATTGAACGCATTTTCGCTTGATGCCCTCCATCAAAGTCTTTACAGTGTCATCCGGTACCAGTTTCTCAGTTTTTTTTCCATTTTCTTAACATGTCCTTCTCGTCTTTGACTGTCTTCTTGCTCTTCCGAAGTTCCCGCTTCATTATTGCCCAGTACTGCTCCACCGGGCGCAGCTCCGGACAGTTTGGCGGATTCATGTCATTTGGAACAAAATGGACAGAATTGGCCTCATACCACTCCAGGACACGGCAAAAGGCGCTTCTCGAGGCACTTAGATTTGTAGATCTCGCCATTTACTGTGCCCTTTGTCACGAAAGGCTCACTCCTAAGTCCGCAAGAGCAGATGGCCTGCCAAATGAGATATTTGGAGGCGAACCAGAGGCCGGTGAAAAACTCCAACCCCGGAATTTGCTTAAAATCGGCTTTTATATACGTTTCGTCGTCCATCACACAGCAGCCATATTTTGTCAGCATCTTCTCGTAGAGCTTCCGTGCCCGAGTTTTAGCCGTCGATTGTTGCCGCTCATCGCGGTTTGGGAAGTTCTGTACCTTATATGTGTAGAGTCCCTCCAGGAGGCAACAATCGAATTCACCAGAAGGAACACTTTCGGAACTCGCCAATAAAACTCGTTTAACCACTTTAACTTTAACAGACCGTTTTATTCACTACCAGTCGCAACAATCGTTCATCGGCTTCTGCCTCAATAAATCTCCTTTACACCGAGGCGCTCGTTTGTCGTCGTCCGTTCTCTTTCACTCTCCTTGATTCTCCCGCTCGATATACATAGGTCTCTTCCGGGGGTGGAGAATGGTTGCCATATTTACGTTTATCAACTCTACAATATGTATGTAGTCCAGCTCTCTTCTTTGCATTCTGGGCGTAGCTCTGTGACATGCCGATCTTTTTAGCCAAATCACGGCTTGAGACGTTGGGATTTGATTTAATCATCCGCTTCACCTTTCCCTCCGTCTTTTTGTTCTCCGGTCCCGGTTTTCTTCCAGCTCCTTTGCCGTGGTCCAACGTCAACCGCTTCTGGAACCGCTTCAACACTCTGGAGACGGTTGAATGGTGAATGTTCAACATTTTTCCCAACTGCCGGTGCGACAGGTCAGGAAATTCCAGGTGTTTGGAAAGAATTTGTTCTCTCAACTCGCGTTGGTTCACCTCCATTTTCGTTGAATCGAAAAACACGACTTCGAGTTTGACAGCATGTACACAATACACATCAATGAGAAAGTGTGCAAAATTTGGTTGATTTTTACCCAATGGTAAAAAAGTTATGCCCTGTTGAATGTGTCGCAATAATTTCGTGTTCGCCCTTTAACCCATGTCCTGAAACTAAGTGACGGTGAAATTCGTAAATTATTGTGGAGCGACGAAATATTTAAGCGAGCATGATTCCGTTAAGAGATTTCAATTATAATAAGCAAATCACAATACTTCTCACCAAGCTGTTTGAATTACCGCGACTATAGATTGAGAAACGCTGCCTTTAGGTATTTCGAGACTTGCATCATGTGTTGATGGAATTTTTTCTGAAGAATCCTTGTAACCTCTCAGATCTTCTCTCGAAACGTTCTTGAATATGCATTAGAACTTACCTGAAGTTTGATTGTCACGGTCACCGTGGTCAATAAAAGTAAATTTTCTTTTGCCATTTTCAAATGACAGTGTCAAATTGATTAAATCTCTGCTAAAAACTCTATCGTTGAACACCACAGAAAAAAATCTACTAATCGTCACCTAAACGTCACGCACGCACGTATGGTTAATTCAATTATAATTCCTAGCCTGCTGGGACCTGTTGCCATGCGAACGGCCCACACGAGCGGCATGTGCCACTATAAATTGACAAGGGAATACGCCGTCTCATGTCCCGGAGAGTTAGGGGCGGGACACAAATTGAATTTCATTCTCGGCAAAGTTTGTGTCGCTGTTGGCAGTGGTACCGATCCCATACCAAAACAATGATCACGTGAAAAAATATGTATGTGGGGTAAAAGCGGCAGGTGGGAATCGGTTAGCGATAATCTAGAAAAGGGACTGTTTTTCATTCAACAGAGTAAACGCATTCTCTGCTGGAGATTTATGGCCAGTTTAGGAATGTCGGTCGTTTAATTGCTAGGCTTCCACCGTGCTCTCACAGGTATTGCGGTGACGTTTTCGAAGTTGTCGGTATTGTTCGCAGTGACGAAGAATGCAACGCGTTGCAAAATATAACAATTGCTGCGTGTTTGTGTTTGTTCAATGAAACATGTCAACTGGTACGCAGGAAGCTTAGAAAATGTCATTTACTGTGCATTTGCACACGGTCAAGCAGTGTTTAGTAATTAATTTCGAAAATTTTACCCAACAGCCGCAATACCCCTCATTAAAACCGTCGGTACGTCGATCAGGCGTTCCCGAAATACCCTATTCCCTCCCGGTGCAGCCTACTGCCTTCGCTTTCGACTGGGCGAAATTAATTGAATTCCTCGTCTCCATGGCGCTGGCTGGCAGTTTCCACCGGTAGAGCTCCGGATGGGTGCGGTCAAGCTCATTTACGAAATCGGTGGAATTTTGTAATCGAAAATGTGGTCCTGGCTGCCTGGCCGGGTTTTTTGGCGGACGTCAGTCACGGAAGCTATTTTACACTCAAGTTGATGTTATTTCTCTGAAACCTGTAAATAACCGAACTGAATATAGGTAGCATTTCCATACAATGGGGACGGTATGAAATGTAAACATGAATTTGTTTTGTTTGGACTCGGATGGGCTTGAGTCGTTTAACGAACTAGTGGAAATGTTTTAGAACATGGTCAAGTTCGTACGCTGATAGTTCCAGAAGCTTGTAGAAGGGATGGCTTGACCCTTTTAATAATTCATACTTAGAAATAACTGCTTTTACACGAGACGTAATCCATATTAGATGTTCTCAAACCGAAACATAAGCAAAACTTGACTAAGAGAACGTTTGATTGAATTGATTTTCTCGTTTCTTTCAACTGATTCTTATGTCGAAAGGACCGCTTACATGTGCCGGTCTCAGGGAACCGAAATTTACACGACCTATTCGTAGTGTGTAAAGCACATCCTGGTGATTAGCCATGCAATTAGCAAGAAAGAACGGTTACACCTTTTCACCTACACTCTCCCATCGTTGATTTCAATGAAGTTTTATTAGTTTTACATACAACGGTTCTCATACCTACCCTTCGCATTGAATATAAGCGGATTCCAGCGATTCAATGGTAGGGAAATGTAACATTTTATTCTGTGGCCCATTTTCGCAAGTTTCCCATTTAAAAGTAGTTCCATTTCGCTCCTAAGAGGATCAAGAAGATTGAAATATAACGTAACAAACCCGGACGGAAATCGGGAGCAAAAATCGAGTTGAAAATGTTCCTGAAACATAAATCCCATTTTCCGTGTTATTTTGCTGTGCTTACTTGAAATCCTCAAAGAGAAAAACATCATACCCAGCAATTCTACAGTTACAACCGGCGAGAAACACAGAGCTTAGTGAAATTAAATGCTAACACATATCCACCCCAAGCCAGGCGTTCGGTTCAAAGGTCATCTGACCGAGCCGTCTGACTCCAGACCGGGGATCTTGATAAAACAGAAAACCCGTCAGTCGTAAAAGCTTTGCAGTAGTGAAATGCCGTCCAGGCGCCGGGCCGGCTTAGGGATTCATTTCACTTCCAGGATTAACAAAAAGCCAACGTGTCTCGGGGACCGAATTGATAAACTTGCCGAGCGGCGCCATCACAACAGGATAACATAATCGCAGCAACCACTTGCGAGGGAAAATGACCGACCGAGGGCGTCCCTACACGAGAGGATCAAAGCAGGCTACCACCGCAACAAAAGCCAATATTTAAAGGATTAGTGTTCCAGCGGGCAGTAAACGTTTGTAGGTCGCCTGCTTCGTCCACTTGAAGCAGGATTACCAAGATCTTGATTCTTTGCCTACTTTTATTTTTCGTTTTCATCTAATTCGTATCTACTGTGGGATGTAACCATCTTGCCTTGAATTTGCTGCTCGCTGCATACAACAGCGGAACACCGAACACTCTCTGGCTCCATCACCGTAAGGTCGGTCGGTCGGTCGGTAGTTAACCACCATCCAACAACACCATAAACCCACGCTGCCGGTGATGACGACGGCAGTGGGAGGCGTTGGCTTCTGCAGACCATGTATTCAAAGTTTATCTACATTTTGCAAAGCACCGGTACCAGGTAAATGATGTGGGCAGGTCAGCGAATCCAAGGATGGGTCGCACGCTACACGTCTGTCTTGTTTATCCTTCGAGCATGAAGTCAAGCGGATGCGTTGCTTCGGTTGCTGGCGGGAGTTGTTGCCCAGGTAATTACTGCTTTAACAATGTGCGCCGGTTACTGCGATTTGTTCGAAGTCGTTAAAAATTAGACCTTGGTTTGAGGTTTTGTTTGAGAGTTTTGAATTTAGTCGGTGACATCGTTCGCAATTTAATGAGCACAGGTTGATTGAAGGTAAATGAACTGGTGGGGGTTTTGTTGTTTGCAGTTGAACAGCTATTTTCTTAAGTACATTGAACAAAATTAGCATATATTAAGCTCATTTGTAATCAAAACATTAATCATCATTCGCCTTGGATGTAGAAGGAAAAGAACGCGAAAACTTATTATGACTCGTGAACTTTCCTCTTGTTTACCTTGATGCAATTTCACGAATACTAAAATCCCCCGAAGGTTAGTGGTTCTGCCCACTCACCGCTATTTCTCAGCTGTTTTCCAACCGATTGAGCTGATTTTAGTGCTCACCCGGAAGACCTCCTTAAACTATATAAAACGACTATTCTTCAAGGGGTAGGTCACTCCGCACACCAATCTTGGGTCATCTTTTTTGTCAGTGTGCCGCAAGTATGCCGATTGTGCCGGTCATAGAGCAAGCTGCGATTGTTTGTAAAATACCCATCCCGGCAACCCGGTATTTCTGACACATTGAATGTTTTGGTTTGAAATCGCAAGGATTAATCGGATTGAAGATGACGCGGGAACTGGCAGGTGTGTGAACTTTCGGTGTTTTGTGATCCATAGGGTAATAAAAGTCCTGTGTTTTAGTGTTTTATAATGCCCTCAAAGGCAGACCAGAAATCTAGCTTTTCGGCCGGAAAGAGTTGGAACCAGTGGGCAGCATTGTTAGAGACCAACTATAGAAGATGATGAATATACTTCTTTAGCCTGTTTTATGTGATTTGCAGCATTATTTGAATTAAAGGTACTAATGAGGTCTGATTAACTGCCTCTTCCTCTTGAGTCCACTCTAGAACCTACATTGCATATTTAGATCTATAAGTGAAATGCTGGTCTGAGTTCCTCTGGTATATTCATTTAGAAGATATTCCTTTACATACAGTCAAACAGCACGTAATGTTCTGAACAACTTCAATGACAGTTGTCCAGCAGTGCTCCCATTTTATTTACAACAATCTAATCCCTACGAGATTGTGCCGAAGGTATGCTGACAATGTGCCGATGGATGTGCCCAAGCTGTGTAAAATATAATTCAGGCACATTGTGCTGAGTGACTTACCCCTTGCTATTCTTTCAGTTCTTGAGTATGGCTCTTTCTGGTTCAATATCGTTGTTTACGTATTGCCCTAGGCTGTATGCATTCAACACACAATAATATTATGAGCTTAGAGGTTCTGGCAGGCGTAAAACCCCTGAAGAACCGTTTCTGGGAGCTCTCATTAAGAGTATTGATCAAATGTAGTGTCAGTAACATCCTTGTGATTGAAAACTTCGATCTATCTCAATTCCCCGTATTTTTGCTGAAAAGTACCAACAAGTCAATTGCAATAGAAGATTTTTCACTGATGGATCATGCATTGGTCATCCACTGGCTTCAGTGTCTTCAATGAATACTCATCCGCCTTCCGGAAACTTCAACTTCGCATTGCATTGGGGTGTTGGAAAGTACACCACATGCCGTCTACATCAGTGCGTCCCTCGCACAACGACAACGTAGAGAGCAAACAAACTATGTTCTTTTGAAAAACGTATGATGCAACCAGAAGTTTATTTTCCGTCATTCTTCTAAAAGCATGTAATTGAACCACATTGAAATAAAAACGTTGCTCGATAAATCTCGCCTTTAATAGTTGTTCAATATCCGATATTTCCCAACAGGTTATGGGCCCAGCACGCTTCCACTGCGCGTAGTTTGCAAATTGTGAAAAATTCCGTTCGGAAATCGGATGTAAAGTGTGTTTTTTTTTCTCCGATAAAAAACATTTTCACTTGTGAAGACATTTTTTTTACTCGCTGCTCATTCTGGATAGTACCATAGCAACATGGCAACGAACGCGAGCTTGGCCGTAGATAAATTGAATGATTTCAACTACGAGCTCTGGAAATTTCGTATGGAGCTGGTGCTTTTGAAAGAGGGAGTGAGAAACGTTGTCGATGAGGAGAAGCCGGAAGTCCCTAACTCGTCCTGGATCTATAGAGATGGCAAGGCTCGGGCTCTGATCGGTCTCTCAATTGATGATGGCCAAACATGCCACGTCATGCATGCTGCCACAGCTCGCGAAATGTGGTTGTCACTGAAGAACTACCATGCCTGGTCATCGCTTGCCACGAGAATACATGTTTTGCGGAAGCTCTTCCGAATGTACTTACCGGAAGATGGAAATATGGCCGATAATTTGGCGCAAATCACGCAACTGGCCAACCGGCTGTTAAACATGGGAGATCCGCTGAAACATTACTGGTTAGTTGCCATCATCCTGTCAAGTCTGAACGAGTCATATGACAGTCTGATCAAAGTCCGGTGGAAGTGCTAGCGGCAGTAATGAAAAAGTGTTGAAAACGGAAGTGAACCAAAAGAAACAAAAGAAGAAGAAAGAAAAAGTTTGCCATTATTGTGGTAAAGAAGGACATTTTCGACGGGACTGCCGGAAGCTGGAGTACGACATGAAGAACAAAGAAAAAGAAAGTGCCAACAATCAGAAGGCGAACATAGTGGTCGAAAATAAAGAAGCTGACGAGGTGTGTCTGGTTGCTGGACTGCTCGGTGGTGATTCAGGTGATGTTGTGTGGTGTCTAGACTCGAGAGCCACATCGCATATGACCAGTGATGCATCGCTTCTGGAAAACGTTACGTAGGTGAGTTCGATTATTGGCCTTGCTGATGGTAACAAGATCGCTGCGGCAGGGGTTGGTTCCAGCAGATTCCGTGCGCTGGATGGCAATGGTAAGAAGGTACCTGTGACTATCGAGCAAGTTTACCATGTTCCTGCGTTGGCTGGTAATCTACTGTCGGTAAGTAGATTGACCGATGAAGGGTGTTCCGTATTGTTCAACAAAACCAGTTGTGAGATCCAGAAGAATGGGAAAGTTCTGCTTGGTGCTGAAAGAAGAGAAAATCTGTATCAGCTGAAAATCTATGTTCAGAAGGCGTTAAAAACGATGGCAGGCCACAACCAGAATTGTATTCATGTGTGGCATCGTCGTCTTGGCCATCGCGATAAGCAAGTGATTGAGAAGATCGTTCGAGAGGGTCTCGGAAATGGCCTAAATTTGCAGGATTGTGATGTTAAAGCTGATTGCGGAGTGTGCTATGAAGGAAAAATGTGTCTGCTGTAGCGCTGTAGGAGATCTTGTCCATACTGACTTGTGCGGACCGTTGGAGGTTGCGACACCTCGAGGAAATCGTTTCCTGATGACTATGGTGGACGATTACAGCCGGTATTGCGTTCTATATCTGCTGAAGCACAAGTCGGAGGCGGCTGAGAAGATAGTCGAGTACTCAAAAATGATGCAGAATCAGTTTGGTAGGTTGCCGAAAGTAATACGCTCGGATGGAGGAGGAGAGTACTCCTGTACTGAGTTGAAGACATTTTTGACTGGAAATGGAATCCTATTGGAACAAACAGCACCCTACAGCCCTCAACAGAATGGCACGGCTGAACGAAAGAATCGCACTTTGCAAGAGATGATGCGATGTCTTTTGATGGAAGCTCGACTTGGTAAACAATATTGGGGGGAGGCAGTGTCAACTGCTAATTTTCTGCAAAACTTACTACCGACTGCTGCTATCGAAGCTACACCGTTTGAACTTTGGTGGGGGAAGAAAGCAAACTATTCTTTCCTCCGAGTGTTTGGGAGTGAAACGTACGTTCACATACCGCATGAGAGAAGACGAAAGCTTGATCCGAAGACAAGAAAGATGGTGTTTGTTGGATATGCTGATGGCAGGAAGGCATATCGTTTTTTGGACTCCACTACGAACCGTGTCACTATTAGTAGGGACGCAAAGTTCCTTGAACTAACTAATGGTACGCGCGAGCGAAGATCCTGAAGAAGTTTCGGAGCAAGAGGATGGAACCGATGACAGCAATTCGTTTCACAGTTCAGTCGAGAATGAACTTGCATTCGAGGAGTTTGAAGGAGACAAAAATCTTCGTCGATCATCTCGCGTCAACAAGGGAATTCCCCTACGTCGCACAGTGAGGCAGCGAAGCCATTCGTCTGGCCAAAACCTCTAGCGCCGTTGGTTTGCTTTCTACAGCAATACAATGTTCTACAAAGTTGTTCAATACTAAAAGCGCCATCTTTTGAAAGTTTCATATTAGTTCATTTTTACGCCAAATAGGTGGCACTCGAGTCTATCTTTTGAACGGAGCATCCTAGGTGAATGGTTTTCAGGGCAAAGTTGTGTAATTTAAAGTGTTGAGAAATGTTGTCCAAGACATCAAAACTCTATGACTCACATTAAGCGAGATAGTGGGCAATTAGGAAAACTAACCTCTAAAATTGCGTTTTTTCCTTTTTTTCACCTATATTCGTCAAATGTATAAGTTTTATACTCTGATAATTATCAAAATGGTTTGACTCATCCAATAAATACCCATTACTTTATATATCATGCCTTATTATAAAGTTATTAACATAAATGTCTCAAAAAAGTGATGTATAAAAATGTCAATTACTCAAAATATAGCAAAAAGTAGCAGCCAATTTTTATACAGTGATTAGTGTAGACCTTGCTGGATAAAATAACGACCACAGTTCAACAGGCAACAGGCTTGGATGATTTTGTTCAAACGGTTGCAATTGGTCTTCAGGTTAGACAGCCCAGTACGCTGGTACTGGCTACGAATCGTGTTGCGGAGTCTAATAAGGTCTTTAGTGGGCCTGTCAAGGTTCAGAGTATTACTTATCTATCTGGATCAGGGCTTTTTTTTCGCCACGAGCTGTCTTCGGGCGCGGACGCATTTGCATTTTGGTCCGCAAGTAATTTGTATATATATATATATTTTTTTTTTACACTTCGACAACGACGCGTGTGGGTCTCGCTGGCCATTTGTACCTTATATTATCGCGTCGAATATTTAAAACATAAGCAGTTATGCCGTGCGGTGTAATATCATGCAGCATCAACGACGACCGCTTTCTATGGAAGTGCGAATTTTGCAACAAAAAATACCATGCTGCCTGTGTCGGAGTACAGCGACAACGGGAGCATTTCATCACGGCATTCATGGTGCCTATGTGTGCTGACTGCCAGCACATTTTACGGAAGGAAGCCGACGTGAGGAAGCTGCTTCATCAACAGGAGCAACTTGTGGAAGCAATCCACTCTCAAACGGACGCGAACCACCGCATTGCTGCTGACCTAAAAAAATTCTGCTTAGTATCAGAATTATTCGACAGCATTGAGCACCTGCTAAATGACGTAAAAGAAACGTTGGCAGTAATAAATAAAAACAATAATAACATGTGCAGCGCGGTCGGCCAGCATATGAAAACGTGTGATTCACAAGCGCACGCGACAATAACCGGCATCAACGAATCAAATTCGTTGATGTCACAAAAAATTACAAAATTACTTGACGAACGGCTATCAAGCTTATCTAATGACATGGCACTTTCAATAAAAGGGGCCGAATCATCACCTCATCATCATCATCCAGAGCCGAAACTTCTGGAAATTCTTGAGGAAGTGAAATTTGTATCTGGGGCTGTTTCTAGTCTTCAGATAAATGCTGCAGAACCTCATCAGAAGACCTTGGAGGAAGAGTTAGCTGAAAGTCCTCCAGTACACAAAAATACAATATCTCCAAAAACTGACCATTCATCTCCTGGATGGCGGTTTTTAGGCAACAAATGGCACTGGAAGCAGGACTGGTCTAAATTTGACGCAAAACAACGGACTCGCAGGTTGCAGGAAAAAGCTGCTGAAAAATCCAAACGCAGCAGAAAACGACGAAAACAACAACAAATCCACACCAGCAGTACCAAAAACATCATCCAAGGAAATGAATACAGCCGCGCCAAGGGATCGGACAAGCAACTACTGGCCACAGCGAAAGTACAATTTGCTGGTCCGCCATTGACCACCGACCACCCAATTGCAGCCCTCTCGGTCCCAAAATTCATCAACTTCAGGAAGGGTGAAACCATCAACCAATACCGGACAGAAAAGCAGGTACAACACAACAACAAGACTGAAACGCCGTCATCATTGCAATCAAATACAAATACATCAAATCAAACATCTGGATGGTCACTCGACCCTATGCGCCCACCCATCGTAAGCTTGACGCAGCAATCAGCTGATGGGGACGGGCGTTTCCTGAAAGCACGACTACGGGACACAAAAATAATGTACATCGTTCGCCTTTATTTGGCATATATGCATGACAAGGCATGACTCCTTTCGACGAGAAAGAGGTAAATAATAATACCAATGAAAATATTTTATCAACCGACGTACTTCCAAAAGTCTCTTCACATAAACAGAATGCGACTGAAATTTTGATTTACTGTCAAAATTTCAATCGCATGAAAAGCCCAGCTAAAATGAAGGAAATCTATCAAAATTTATTATGCTCATCCTTCTCGGTCATTCTGGCAACTGAAACAAGCTGGGACGAAAGCGTGAAAAGTGAAGAAATCTTTGGAAATGCTTTTAATGTATTCAGAGACGACAGAAATTTTCATGCAACTCAGAAGAAGTCAGGCGGTGGAGTCCTTATAGCTCTTTCGGCCAATTTTAACTCAGAAATTATCTTTACACCAAAATTTACAGAATTTGAGCATATTTGGGTGAAATCACACATTGCCGGTGAAACGCACGTGTTCGCCTCAGTGTATTTTCCACCAGACCATGCTCATAAAAGCACTTATGAAGCCTTCTTCCAAAGTGCTGAACAAATTCTATCTGAGCTTCCTCCTGAGGTTAAAGTTCACATCTATGGAGACTTTAATCAACGCCATGCTGACTTCATTCTGGACTCTGAAAATGAATGTATCTTACTCCCAGTCGTTGGGGATAATGAAACATTGCAGTTCATTTTTGACAAAACTGCTAATTTAGGACTGAACCAAATTAACCACATCAAAAATCAATAAAATTGCTATTTGGACTTTTTACTAACGAATATTTATGAAGATTTCTGTGTGACCGAATCATTAAACCCATTGTGGAAAAACGAAGCGTTTCACACAGCAATTGAATATTCTTTATTTGTACACGAATACCAAAGACCCAACGACTGCGAATACGAGGAAGTCTTTGAATACAAATTAGCAGACTACGAAAAAATCAAACATAAATTAAACAGCGTCAATTGGCAAATAATTCTAAGGAATGAAGGAAATGTCGAAACTGCTGTAGACATCTTCTACCAAATTTTATCAGGAATAATTTTGGAAGAAATACCTTTGAAGAAAAAAAGACGCTACAGAAGCACAAAAAATCCAGTCTGGTATAACAGACAAATAAAAAACTTAAAAAATCGAAAACAGAAAGCACATAAACATTACAAAAAACACAATA